CAGAAAGACAGAGAGAGACAGAGAGACAGAAAGCGAGAAATCACCCCCCAGGGGGGATGGCCATGCCACAATCCCTTCTCCTCCATTCTCCTCTCGGGATCTTGGGTACGCACGCACATGCACCCGGCATGAGTTTAAGCCACCGGGTCTGGGACTTGAACCACAGTCAACCACATGGGAGTTCAACAACATAGCCATTACATTAGCTGGTCCCGAGATACATATTTTAAAGCTTATTGAGAGAGAGAGAGAGAGAGAGAGAGACCTTGACCTGTCTCAGCCATGACCTTCCCCCAGCCTCCGAACCAGCACCTGTGTGTACCCAGCGTGTACAAATCAGCCCGAAGTGGATCCCAACCTTCCGAGTGGATCCAGCAGCAGGGTATCACATGCTACTTAGAGCCGCCATGGCCAGCCTGCTTTATTTCACAGTAAAAGTTCCTGAATATCACATTAGACTTTTTTTAAGTTCCTTTCTTTCTTTTTGACTTTTTTTTTTTTTTGCCATAGGGCATATGTGCTCACTAGAGAGAGACAGAGAGCGAGGAAAAGTGAGACATCACTCCCCCAGGGGGATGGCCATGCCTCAATCGCTTCTCTTCCATTCTCGTCTTGGGATTTTGGGCATGCACACACATATATGTCTGGTGTGTTTTATAGGCCGCTGGGTCCGGAACACAAAATGTAGAGTTGGCCATATGGGATCCAGCACCTTAGCTACCATGTCACCTGCATGCTCCTCTTCCTCCCATGCGAGAGAGAAAGAGAGATAAAGGCAGGCACCTGGATTCCCCTGCAGCTCCCAACACGGGTGCGCACGTGTACAAGCTGACAGGGGAACCAAACTCAGTCTTCTATACGATCCCAGCATCGTAGAGCATGGCACCACTTCTCTGCAACTTTCTGATGAGCACTGTGCACTGTTCATTCGCTTTAGGCTTACTGTCAGCTCTATGGTGGGGCCTCAAAACGTTTGTGGAAAATGGAATTAAAATGAGCTTTCGGTGCAAACAATTCTGTACAATCCATGCATATTTTTTTTGCAATGTGCCTTGTCCGTGAACTTTTTAGACATTTCTCGTCTGTGTGTACATGTGAGTATTCGTATAAAATAATTACGTATGTCTCCAAGAGCAGTTTTGAAGTGGCTTCCCCAGCCATAGAAGGCCAGCAAAGACAGTGCAGGTCTCCCACGATGTAAAGGGAGCACCCTGGGAGCCTCTGCTACCTGTTAACCCACTGGAGAGGGCGCTCAGCTCTCAGGCTGTCCACTCATCATTCTGCTATCGCAAAACTCCTGTTTATGTGGATATGGAAGAATGGTTGCTATGGCAATGCCATCCAGCTGAATTCCAGAATGCATCTAAAATTGGTGGAAGTGACTTCTTCAGGGTTTCTGCTGAGGATTAATCATTTTCTAAGAATTGTATCTTTTTATCCTTTCCTGTTAGGACATTGAAGCCAGAGCGCCTCGTCCAGTCCTGGAACATGGGCAACATGAGGAAGGGTCAGAGGAGGGCAAAGATGACAATCGGAGGAAAGGCCCAAACCACAGAAGAGCCCTTCCTACTAAATTCTCTGGCTTCTCGTCATTCCCCTGCCTCGACTGCTTCGCCGTGTCCGAACCCTCCCCTCAGCTCCCTTGAGTCTGCGCTCTTCCCTGCAGAGCTTTCTGAGTCCTTCTCTGACTCGCCCTTCCCTGACCCCCGGTTGAGAGCGTGCCCTGTCCTCTAAACCCTCTGTCGCAGGTCCACGTGTGCCCGAATCATGTGCTGAAGTCCTGACCCCAGCGTCTCAGGCTGTGACCTGCAGGGCCGTGGCCACCTCCCCTTCCTCTCCTGACACTCCTTTGCTTTGTTCCCCCATGCAGTGTCCTCATGATTCCCAAGCCGGACCTGTGTAGCCTACCCTCTCATTCCCACTCGCACCCTGGGGCACCAGGAGATGGCCTCTCCTTTAGAAAGCAGGATGCTCCCAGATGGGGTTCTCGCCTCAGTTCCCTGCCACCCCCACCCCACATGCACTCTCGGCTCTGAGCCGTGGACGTCTCCCAGTTCTCAGAAGCTACCACGATGTCCCTCTCACCTCCCTGCTCTTTCCATGCCACTTCTCCCGCTGGAGTGCCCCTCCTCCTCCTCCTTGCTCCCAGAGCTTCTGGAGTCTGAAAACAACACCTGGTAGAGAAGCCCCTTCGTGCAGGGCACCTGCCATTCTGTGACATCACCGTTTGCGTCCTGGCTGTCTTCCCTCACGTGAGCTCTCTGAGGGCTGGAGCTGTGTGGCATTCCAAGCTGGTTCCCTGGAGCCTGACACAAAGTGTGTAAGTGGGCGTGTCACCACTACCTCAAAATCAGCATTCCCAAACCTCCCCAACCCTGCGTCCCCAGCCCTGCCGTTTCCCACAGACTCGGACTCTGCGGTGTTTTGATGACTTCTTTGTCCTATGAGTTTAGATGCCACTTCCACCATAGTTTCTTGCAAATTAGCTTTGGGTCAGAGCTACATTCACCACCACGCCGCCCCGCGTGGTTCCTCAGCTCCGTCTGAACTTGACCCAATGACTTCTGACTCCTGACTTGACAATTCCCTAGGCCAACACACCCTGAGTGTGTTCTCTGAATTCACGGCTCTGAACTTTGCCCTCTTGGCCTGAGGCCCACACCTTGGTGTGCAGAGCCCAAGGCCTCCTGCTGCCCCCACGCTTCCATGTCCTCCTCCCGCTCCCTCTCTCCGTCTAGTCTGGAACTTCCCGACACCTGCTGTTCTCCTCTGCCCTTGTGCCCTCTCCCTTTGCTCCCGTTGCCCCCTCAACTTCCCACATTGGAAACTCCTTCCTCCATAGAGGAAATCCTATTACTTCAGCTGTGCTTCCTCCATTTATCCCTGTACCTTGGGGTTGACCTTACCCGGAGTTGTTGCACATGTGATTAGTTAAGTGAGGTTGCACTGGAGCAGGGGGCATAGGGGCAGTCTGGTACAACTGCGCCCTTGTAAGAAGGGAACGTTGGAACACAGAGGTCCACACACAGGGACAACGCAGCCACCTGCAGGTCCAGACCTGGGGCAGATCCTCTCACATCTTTGAGGAGTGACCCACCTGCCAACTTCCCGCTGCCGGACTTCAACCTCTAGAACTTTGAGTCGACAGATTGCCATTGTCTAAGCCATCCACCTGGTGACACCTTGCTCACAACCCAGTGATGTAATACACGCTCTTATACCGATTTTCCTGGGTGTCCGACGCCCTCCTGGCTTACGAGCTGAGCAGCCATCCTTCCCAGAGCTGTTTGCAGGCTGCCTTAAGCTTGTGTCATGAGCACATTTCTGACTCTAATGAGATTCTGATTCCCCAAGAGTAAGCTTTTCTTTATGCTTCTTTTTCATCCCTGACAGGGCCTAGTACTTTGCTGACCTACAGAGCAGGCTGAGTTGAATTGAATGTACCCTGGAGGGTACAGTCCTGGCTCCTGTCAATGTATCTCACAGTCTCTCTAAACCCCTTGAGGTCAGACACGAGATCTCGGGCTCCAGGGTGCCAGGAGGGAGACAGACCAGGGACCCTGTGGAAGCCTGCTGACCTGGGAGCACGAGGAGTCACTGGGTGTGAGGATCAGAAGGGACTAGGGAGGGCACAGTCCAACCCTCCCACCACAGGGAATGGAGGCGAAGCCTTAGGGATGTGAAGGTGGTCTCCTCACAGACAGCGGGAGGTGAAGCGGTGGTCTAAGCCAGATTCCCTGACTCCCACACCAGGGTTGTGACACGGGCTGCCTGCCAGGTGGGATGTGGGAAGGGGCTGCTGAAAGGACAGTCAGAGGGGACCCGGCAGGCCCTGCAGTGTACTAGAGGCCCAGTGCTTCACAAACGCACCAGTACGAGTAACGTGGAGGGAGAAGCAACTAGAACATAGGGCTGAGGCAGCAGTGAGTGGGACCGGGGGCTCTGGAGAAGCCAGCACCGCAGCATGGTAGGTAACAGTCACTGTGTCAGTGTGCGGGGGTAGGACAAGGGGCTCTGGAGAAGTCAGCGTGCAGCACGGTAGGTGACGGTCACTGTGTCAGTGTGCGGGGTGGTCGGACGGAGGTCCGCAACAGCCTCTCAGCCCGCTATGTCTCGGTGCACTGAAACGGTTCCTGGGCACGACTCATGGGAAACAGTGAAGGCTTTCTACAACAGTCAAGAAACACACACAGAGCAGAATTCAGTATCTTACTGAGAGAAGGCTTCGGGTCCAAATGCAAAGTATGTGAAAGAAAATGATTGAGGGACCAGCAGTTAGTGTAATGGCTATGCCGCTGAACTCCCACGTAGCTGACCGCGGTTTGAGTCCCAGACCTGATGGCTTAAAATAATGTCGGGCGTGTGTGCATGCCCAAGATCTCAAGAGGAGAATGGAGTAGAAGGGATTGTGGCGTGGCCACCCCCCCAGGGGGGTAATTTCTCGCTTTCTGTCTCTCTGTCTCTCTCTGTCTGTCTGGCAAGCACACGTTCCCTATAGCAAAAACCTCTCTGAAAAAAAAAAAAAAAGATTGAGTAACATTTTAACCATAAAGACTGCAGCTCTTCAAAATTAGCTATAAAGACATTTAACTAATCTGAGAAAATGCTTACATGAGGTGGAAAATTCAGGCTTAAAATAAACAAACAAACAAACAAAAAAAAAACAGCAGATACACACAGTGTGAGCTCAACCATGGGAGAAAGCAGTTCACAGGGGGGAAGTTCTCCCAAACCTCCATGGAGTTTCCTAGACCTTTAACCTACTGTTTTCTTCCATGTAGATTCAAATTTCTAGAGTGAGCAAGGTAGTATTTATAGAGCCGAAGGGTAATAGTGTTTTTGTGTTAAAGACACTAATTCTGTGCTTATAAAGAAATACAAGCTGTCAGGCCCAACCTTGTTCTTGGTGTCTTGGCAATGACTGCATGGCCATGTTGTCCAGCAATGATCTCTCCCACCAAGAGGAAGGGCCATCCCTGATTTGTCAGTCATCTACTCACATTCTGAATATTTCTGGAGTTGGTCAAATTCTTCTGGAGTGAGGGAGACCCACAGATCTTCACTCATCTTTACACTGGGTGTGAGCGCCTCAAGGTCAGGGATGAAGTTTGCTCAGCAGGGTGAAGCCAAGGCCCCATCCAGGGCCTGGTTCATTGCAGGTGTGCAGTGGATAAGCCCTTCAGGAGACGGCTGGGAAGACTCAAGTGTCTGTAGCAGCAGCGGGCACCTCAGCAGACACGCATCTACTTCTGCTATTCTTCAGGAGACATCCTTATGTGTAGTCAAGGTCAATTCAGATATCCTCGATCTTCCTAGGCAGAAGCAGAAAAGATATTTTAATGAGTGTTAGAAATAAAAAAAAGTTTAAAACGTCCCCAAATGTTCTTTGCTGAAAGATCTAGAGGGGACTATGATTCAGGGATTCTCTAGAAAGGGCTCTTCTTCCAGGGAAGCCTGAAAAGGGCATAGAGACCAGTGAAGCTCAAATCCAGTCAGTTGTCTGGTTGGGAATGAGAGTCGGATGGGAAACAGTGGGCTGTGTGAAAAGGAGGGCCAGGGTGAGCCGTTGGCTTGGTGGTTAAGGTGCTGGACTCCCATATAGCTGACTAGGGTTTGAGTCCCAGACCTGGTGATATAAAAATCATTCCAGGTATATGTGTGAGTGTACACAAAATCCTAGAAGAAGAATGGAGGAGAAGGAATGGTGGTGCAGTCATCCTCCCAGGAGCTGATTTCTCATTTTCCCTCTCATTGTTTCCCTCTCTTGCCGTAGATGCCATAGAGCAAAAAACAAACATAACGAAACAGAAAGAAAAAAGAAAAAGAAAAGCAGGAACATGCTCCTAAACTGGGAGATTTTAAATGTCTCACCCAAGAGGTGCTCTTAGCGCCCCCTAGGGGCATCCATCCTCCCCTAGGGGCATTCCCCTAGGGGCATCCTCATGGCATGAATCCTCATGGCTGTTGAATATCTTGGGAGTAACTAACAGGTACTGTAGCTAAATAACCAGTGAAGTTATTTGAAAGGCAAGCCATTCTCCCTTCCACAGTTTCTTTCTTTATCTTCATTTTTTCATTTTGAGATGATTTATTTTTATTTTTTCAATAATTATTTCTTCTGGTTCTTGACTTATTGTCTTTCTTTCTTTTAGATTTATTTTATATATTCAATCACTATACATTACTTAGCTTGTAAAGTGATTTTACCCAACATGAGTACACTTCACATCAGTCCAGTTGAGAATACTATCTTCCACAGTGTCTAAACTACCACTGCAGACTGGCTCCTCCGAGAGCTACTTTCGAAATTCAAGTTCTCCCATGGCTGGCCAACCTCCGAGTGACTAGGCAAGTTCTCCATCTGCCATGAAAGGCAGGCTAGAGGGAAGGCCTGGTGGTCATTACATCAGTTTGCAAACTGTGAAATTCCTGGAGTGGATCAGGACCAGCATTTAAAAACGTGAAACAGAGTAGGATAGAGAGGAACAGTGTGGAAGATCTTAGAGTGCATCTAGCATATTAAGGCCAAGTGTTGATTCAGGAGTGCTTTCTTTCAGTTATACAGATCCATGCACACTGGCCGTAACGGAAACACATTCTTACTCTGGGTTGCGGTTTTAAAGGCTGGAAAACCACTGACTTAATGGAAGGAATGAAGAGCGATTGAAGCACAGACTCCGCTGTCACTGAAGAACAGGCTCGGTTTTAATTAAATAGGATCCATCCCGAGCAGGTCTATGGAGCCTGAGCATTGCAACAATGCTGGAGAGATGACCTGCTGGGGAGGTACTTTGGAAATACTAGCATTTAAAGATGGCAGAGAAGAGGCCAGCAGGTGGCATGGTGGTTAAGGCACTGAACTCCCACAGGCCTGACCACGGTTCAAGTCCTGGACCTAGCAGCTTAAAAATCATGCCGGGGTGTGTGTGCATGTGCATGCCCAAGATCCCAGGAGAATGGAGAAGGGATTGCAGTGTGGCCATCCCTGCTGAAGGGTGATTTCTCGCTTTCCCTCTCACTGTCTCTCTGGCGAGTGCACGTGCCCTATGGCAAACAAAAAAGGCAGAAGGGTGGAAGGAGACTGAGGAGGAACATTTAGATGTGAGAGGTTTTTTTAGAGGTTTTTGCTATAGGGCGCGTGTGCTTGCCAGACAGACTCAGAGAGACAGAGAGACAGAAAGTGAGAAATCACCCCCCAGGGAGGATGGCTACACCGCAATCCCTTCTCCTCCATTCTCCTCTCAGGATTTTGGGCATGCATGCACACGTGCCCAGCGTGAGTTTTCAGCCACCGGGTCCGGGATGCGACCCGTGGTCAACTACCTGGAAGTCCAGTGACATAGCCATTATACTAACTGCTGGTCCCAGATGTGAGAGTTTTAAGGGGGGCATTTTCCTCCATGGCTCAGGCTGCAGAACGAGAACAAAGCAAGAAAGCTATTTCCTGGCAGGAGTACAGGCTCAATTGGTGCGGACTTCGAGGGCCGAGCTGGGCTGAGGGGAGAAGCTGGAGGAAGACCTACTAGTTCTGTAAGGATGGCTTCCCCAGCCAGAGCTCTCTGACAGTAGGCGTAGGCGGGGACACGCAGCAAGGGAGCGAGATGCCTGCATCTCTGGGAGTGCTCAAGCGCTGGGCGCTTTCCTTAAAAGCTCAAGTCTCTCCTTAGCTCGTGGGCCACCTGGACCCTGCTGTCAGCATCCGCCCTTGTCCAGGTCACGGGTGACCTAGCTGCCAGGCTCGACAAGTACCTGCGAGTACTTCCTGCTCTGTTTGCTCTCCCATAGGCGCTGTAGCCACGGCAGAGACACCCCTCCCCCCATAAAACTCTCACCGAGGTGCTCCTCCCCGGTCTCCTGTAGCTTCTCCTTTGCCCATCACTAAATGCTAAGCCCCACACTCAAGTCCTCTCTTCACTCTCCTCCCCTTTTCTGAGGCACCCCAAGGGCCTCTACAGTTTCAGTGACTCCCAGGATGCTGCCCCTGCCTGAGCTCTCCCCGCCATCTGAAGCTGTGCGTTGTGATACTGACTCTTCGGCCCAGAGCTGAATGCCCGGTTCTCTACTGTGACGTCCTTGTATGTCCCAAGCCACCCCAAACTGGCACCTTCCAGTGCTCTTGACTGGCCTCTCCTCTGCATTCGGTCATACTCTGAAAAGAGCCAGGACCCAGGCCAGCAGTTGGGGCCTGCCTGTGCTCCTTTTTCTTCCTCTCCTGTCAAATCCACGCACCACTCCTGGGGAATGATCGTCCCCTGCCCTTTCCCTCTTCCCATCATGTCAGTCCTGCTTGTCAGGTTAGACCCTCTGCGTCTCTCTCTCTCTCTTTTTTTGGAGAGGTTTTTGCTATAGGGTGCATGCGCTTGCCAGAAAGACAGAGAGAGACATAGAGACAGAAAGCGAGAAATCACCCCCCAGGGAGGATGGCCACGCCGCAATCCCTTCTCCTCCATTCTCCTCTCGGGATCTTGGACACGCACGCACACGCGCCTGGCATGAGTTTAAGCCACCAGGTCCGGGACTCGAACTGCGGTTGACTACGTGGGAGTACAGCGACATAGCCATCATGCCAACTGCTGGTCCTGACCCTCTGCATCTCTTGCCTTGTCTTTGACAACTGCCTCCTGCTGGTCTCCTTGCTGGGGATTTCATTTCTTCCCCTTGGTTTGCTTTCTAAATTGCCAACCGATCACAACTCTCTGGGGAATACCATTCTTCAGTGGTTTCTATTGTCCATAGAGAAAGATAGAGCCTTCTTCTTACGATACACCTCGCTCTTCACGATCTGGCCCTGATGACTAATTCGTTTGGAAACACGTCCCATCACTGCAGGGGATTCAGCATCACCGCAGCTGTCGCTGTCATGGGAGGGACCTTATTTCACACTGTACGTTATCTAAGTCAGTTCTCTCAGCAGCCACGCAGACGAAGTCTCGCCATCCCTCTTTTGCAGATGAGAGAAATGAGATGGTAAGAGGAGAGAAGGAACCGCTCGCACTGTGACATAAGAAGCTTCCCTGGACCCTGCCGTGGTGCTCAGGGGATAGGGCACCTCTGTGATACTGGGCGTGCACGTGGGGAGGAATGTGGTGTGGCAAGACCCTGCTTGGTCCCTCTTTCTCTTTCTCAAGACTGTGGTGGTTAAGGGCGCTGGACATAGTTCGAGTCCCAGATCTGGTGGCTTGCAGTCTCACTCTCTCTTTTAAGCCACCAGGTCCGGGACTCGAACTGCGGTTGACTACGTGGGAGTACAGCGACATAGCCATCATGCCAACTGCTGGTCCTGACCCTCTGCATCTCTTGCCTTGTCTTTGACAACTGCCTCCTGCTGGTCTCCTTGCTGGGGATTTCATTTCTTCCCCTTGGTTTGCTTTCTAAATTGCCAACCGATCACAACTCTCTGGGGAATACCATTCTTCAGTGGTTTCTATTGTCCATAGAGAAAGATAGAGCCTTCTTCTTACGATACACCTCGCTCTTCACGATCTGGCCCTGATGACTAATTCGTTTGGAAACACGTCCCATCACTGCAGGGGATTCAGCATCACCGCAGCTGTCGCTGTCATGGGAGGGACCTTATTTCACACTGTACGTTATCTAAGTCAGTTCTCTCAGCAGCCACGCAGACGAAGTCTCGCCATCCCTCTTTTGCAGATGAGAGAAATGAGATGGTAAGAGGAGAGAAGGAACCGCTCGCACTGTGACATAAGAAGCTTCCCTGGACCCTGCCGTGGTGCTCAGGGGATAGGGCACCTCTGTGATACTGGGCGTGCACGTGGGGAGGAATGTGGTGTGGCAAGACCCTGCTTGGTCCCTCTTTCTCTTTCTCAAGACTGTGGTGGTTAAGGGCGCTGGACATAGTTCGAGTCCCAGATCTGGTGGCTTGCAGTCTCACTCTCTCTCTCTCTCTCACTCACTCTATCTCTCTCTGGTGAAATTAAAACATAAATAAATACATTTTTTTTAAAAAAAGTACAGAGTACTAAGAGGCCTAGAAATCCACTGTATGATAGAAAAACACTGAACTGAAAACAAACATTTGAATCTAGGCTCTGCCTCTTATCAGCTATTTGACCCTACTTAAAATTTTCATTTCTTGATTTTTATGTTTTTTTTTAATCTCAAAAATGAGAGTACTAATTGATGTTGATATAGGATTAAATGAAATACTATATGCAAGAACCAGAAAACCAAAATTCCATCTGGTATAATGCTTGCCACATGGTAAACATTCAATAAATAATTATTGTCATTATCCTATTGCAGATATGACACTTAGCAATACGGCTTAAACGTCAGCTGACAGCAGGGTGGA